TCTTCTTCTTCTTCTTCTTCAACACAAACCTTGGCCTTCAATGCAAGGTTGGGCTTCTTTGCCCTTTGAGAGTGAAGCACCGCATTGTCAGCGGTCTTGTCCAAGATGCTCATAGCCACAAACTCATCCAACACTTCACTTGAGGACAAGGTGTGGAAGTCCGGCCTTTGACGAATGACAGAGGACATAGACTTGTGGTAAGGCATCATTGCCTTGAGGAATTTGCGCTTGATCCAATTGTCATCCGTGTCCTTGCTCCCATGACCTCGGAGTGAAACAGTGAGTTTGGTTACTCTTCGATAAAGCTCACGAGGTTCTTCATCTTCCTTCATAGCAAACTCATCATCTTCATCTTGCACCACTTCAAGGTTGGAGCGTTGAATGCTTGCGCTTCCCCGGTAGAGAGAAACAACTTGGTGCCATGCATCTTTGGCTATGGCGTAGGGCCAGAGGTGAGGAAGATCTTCGGGTGGAATTGCATCTTGGATGATGAAGAGAGCATTCTCATTGAATTTATTATCCGCGGCTTCTCTTGGAGTGAAGTTGCTTCAGTCATGTGGATAGAAACCTTCTTCAATGATTCTCCAAATATTAGTATTCACATGATTTAAATGATGCTTAAACCGATAGACCCAAGAATCAAAGTCCTCATTTTTCACAATCTTAGGGGGAGGACCGGCATGATTCAAATGAGTGGAAGGAATCGGTCCACCATAAACAAGTAGAGGTTCCACATGGGCAAAGATGTCGGTGCCATTTTTATCACTAGAGGAAGGAGCCTTTTCACTACTAGCTTCCCCCTTGTCAGAGTTAGCATCCGTCACCTTGTTAGTGGGATCACCCACTTTCAACGGTGCGGTGGATAATTTAAGCCCTTCAATGAATTTAGTAAACATGCTTTCAACCTCGGTCGTCATGGAGGTTTTCAATGTCTCCAAGGCCACATTGAATTCCTCATGAGAGACCGAGGTTCCCCCATCGCCCGTAGACGAGATCGAATTCACACCGGAGTGCTCCTCCACAGTGTCTACAGTGTCAACCATACTCTTCGGACGACAAAGTCCTTAGTAAAGAGACGGGGCTCTGATACCAATTGAAAGGACCGATATGGTTGACTAGAGGGGGGTGAATAGGCAACTAACAATTTTTAACTTTTCTTTACCAAATTAAACTTTGCATCAAAGTGGGTTGTCTAGACATGCAACTATGTGAGCAACCTATCTGATGCGACAACAACAAGCACACCAGCAAGCAAGGGAGATAACACAAATAAGCTTGCACAAGTAAAGGTACGAGATAACCAAGAGTGGAGCCGGTGAGACGAGGATGTGTTACCGAAGCTCCTCCCTTTTGAGGGGAAGTATGTCTCCATTGGAGCGGTGTGGAGGCACAATGCTCCCCAAGAAGCCACTAGGGCCACCGTATTCTCCTCACGCCCTCACACAATGCGAGATGCCGTGATTCCACTATTGGTGCCCTTGAAGGCGGCGACCGGACCTTTATAAACAAGGTTGGGGCAATCTCCACAACTTAATCGGAGGCTCCCTACAACACCATGAAGCTTCACCACAATGGAATATGGCTCCGCGGTGACCTCAACCGTCTAGGGTGCTCAAACACCCAAGAGTAACAAGATCCACAAGGGATTAGTGGGGGGAATCGAATTTCTCTTGGTGGAAGTGTAGATCGAGGCCTTCTCAACCAATCCCTAGAAAATCAACAAGTTTGAGTGGCTACGGAGAGAGATCGGGCGAAAATGGAGCTTGGAGCAACAATGGAGCTTAGGGTTGGAAGAGGTGATCAACTCGGAGAAGAAGATACCCCTTATATAGTGGAGAGAGAAATCCAACCGTTATCCACTTAACCAGCCCGCGATAAGTGGTACTACCGCAAGGCCTTACGGTACTACCGCACACCCTTGCGGTACTACCGCAAGGCAGGGTTGGACCAGCCTGGGAAGGCCATGGATAGATAAACGTCCGTGGCTAGTTCCGCTCATTACAAAATAGTGCAAAAATCCGACACGGTACTACCACTGAAGGCAAGTGGTACTACCGCGCGGGGAGTGGATGTCAAAAATTACATCCGCTCCTACTTCCGCTACTGGTGTTGTGCCGGACCAGGGCTCACGGTACTACGGCTCCCAAAGAGCGGTACTACCGCAAAGGCATGCGGTACTACCGCTTCGAAGAGCAGTACTACCGCAAGCCTCAGAACAGCAACATATAGGAAGACTTTTTTTGCACAGACAAGAAGAAACGAAGGATGCTCCAAGGTGCTAAAGGAAAGGCGGTGCAAAGAGGAGTAAACGTGTACGTGACGATTCCACCCAAACCTTTCCAAAGCGTACCCCCTCTTAATAGTACGGCTTTCCTACGACTAAAATCCACCGAAAAAGGAACGTAGAAAAACACCGTCTTCAATAATCTTTGAGGGGCTCCTAACCGTCTCGTGCCTAGTCATGAAATATCTGAAATACTCGAGACACACGATTAGTCCGCAAATGCATTGTCATCAATCACCAAAACACCTTAGGGATAAATATGCCCTTACAATCACTCAATCACATTAATTAGAAAGCAAATATTTGATTTTTAGAAAAACTGCTCAATCACATTAACCTTACCATAACTCACGGATGGTAATCAATCTCCAAACAAAGGAAACAATACATAGAGGGAGCAGTAAATAAACTCCCTTTCTTATGACATATATATGATCTTCCCTTCCCTCTCCGTTGTCGAGCGTTCTTGATTCTTGAGACCGTTGCTTGGGATGCGTCACTGGGCCGCGACGGTGCCGGAGGACGAGGACGGCGAGGCCGGGTGCTGCGGCACCGCGTTGGCCGCGGCCGGTGAAGGGGGCGAAGAAGGGCGGCTTCCCACCTCCCATAGTTTTTTTGGTACCTCCTCCCACCTTCGCTAGTTTTTTTTCGTAGATTTTTTTGTCCCCTCCCTCCACCTCATTGGTTTACTTTCGCGTCACCCTCTCACACAATGAAAAAAATTGAACAGATCGGAACTTTCCATACTGGCGCAAGTTATTTAGTAATGTAGAATCAATCACGAATAATCTCTAAAAATAAAATCTAAATTAATTAACCTTACCTTAAATCACTCAATCACATTAATTAGAAAGCAAATATTTGATTTTCAGAAAAATCGCTCAATCACATTAATCTTACCTTAACTCACGGATGGTAATCAATCTCCAAACAAAGGAAACAATACATAGAGGGAGCAGTAAATAAACTCCCTTTCTTATGACATATATATGATCTTCCCTTCCCTCTCCGTTGTCGAGCGTTCTTGATTCTTGAGACCGTTGCTTGGGATGCGTCACTGGGCCGCGACGGTGCCGGAGGACGAGGACGGCGAGGCCGGGTGCTGCGGCACCGCGTTGGCCGCGGCCGGTGAAGGGGGCGAAGAAGGGCGGCTTCCCACCTCCCATAGTTTTTTTGGTACCTCCTCCCACCTTCGCTGGTTTTTTTCGTAGATTTTTTTGTCCCCTCCCTCCACCTCATTGGTTTACTTTCGCGTCACCCTCTCACACAATGAAAAAAATTGAACAGATCAGAACTTTCCATACTGGCGCAAGTTATTTAGTAATGTAGAATCAATCACGAATAATCTCTAAAAATAAAATCTAAATTAATTAACCTTACCTTAAATCACTCAATCACATTAATTAGAAAGCAAATATTTGATTTTCAGAAAAATCGCTCAATCACATTAATCTTACCTTAACTCACGGATGGTAATCAATCTCCAAACAAAGGAAACAATACATAGAGGGAGCAGTAAATAAACTCCCTTTCTTATGACATGTATATGATCTTCCCTTCCCTCTTTGTTGTCGAGCGTTCCTGATTCTCGAGACCGATGCTTGGGCTGCGTCACTGGGTCGCAACGGTGCCGGAGGACGAGGACGGTGAGGCCGGATGCCGCGGCACCGCGTTGGCCGCGGCCGGTGAAGGGGGCGAAGAAGGGCGGCTTCCCACCTCTCATGGTTTTTTTTGGTACCTCCTCCCACCTTCGCTGGTTTTTTTCGTAGATTTTTTTGTCCCCTTCCTCCACCTCATTGGTTTATTTTCGCGTCACCCTCTCATACAACGAAAGAAATCTGAATAGATCAGAAATTTCCATACTGGCGCAAGTTATTTAGTAATATAGAATCAATCACAAACAATCTCTAAAAATAAAATCTAAATTAATTAACCTTACATTAAATCACTCAATCACATTAATTAGAAAGCAAATATTTGATTTTCAGAAAAACTGTCAATCACATTAACCTTACCTTAACTCACGGATGGTAATCAATCTCCAAACAAAGGAAACAATACATAGAGGGAGCAGTAAATAAACTCCCTTTCTTATGACATGTATATGATCTTTCCTTCCCTCTCCGTTGTCGAGCGTTCTTGATTCTCGAGACCGATGCTTGGGCTACGTCACTGGGTCGCAACGGTGCCGGAGGACGAGGACGGCGAGGCCGGGTGCCGCGGCACCGCGTTGGCCGCGTCCTGTGAAGGGCGGCTTCCCACCTCCCATGGTTTTTTTTGGTACCTCCTCCCACCTTCGCTGGTTTTTTTCGTAGATTTTTTTGTCCCCTTCCTCCACCTCATTGGTTTATTTTCGCGTCACCCTCTCATACAACGAAAGAAATCTGAATAGATCAGAAATTTCCATACTGGCGCAAGTTATTTAGTAATATAGAATCAATCACAAACAATCTCTAAAAATAAAATCTAAATTAATTAACCTTACATTAAATCACTCAATCACATTAATTAGAAAGCAAATATTTGATTTTCAGAAAAACTGCTCCATCACATTAACCTTACCTTAACTCACGGATGGTAATCAATCTCCAAACAAAGGAAACAATACATAGAGGGAGCAGTAAATAAACTCCCTTTCTTATGACATGTATATGATCTTTCCTTCCCTCTCCGTTGTCGAGCGTTCTTGATTCTCGAGGCCGATGCTTGGGCTGCGTCACTGGGTCGCAACGGTGCCTGAGGACGAGGATGGCGAGGCCGGGTGCCGCGGCACCGCGTTGGCTGCGGCCGGTGAAGGGGCGGAAGAAGGGCGGCTTCCCTGGACCTGGCTGTGGTCGTGGCCCTGGGAGTTGGTGCGGTGGAAGCGGCACTTGAAGGACCCGGCGTGAGTGGCCGACGTGCAGACGCACTTGGAAGCGGGCATGTGGCCCGTGCCGAACGGCGCCGACGCCGACCAGGGCCACCTCCTCCGCGTATTCTTGGAGCTGTGGCTGGCCGAATTACATGAAATTAATTCCCTCAGTTGTGGTGGCAAATATAATACACATAATCCATATTGTTATGCACTAGCGTGTGTGTGAAATAGATGGATTATGATCCCGTACCCAATAAGATGGATATGTGTGTGTGTGTTAGAGAGAGAGAGGGAGAGGGGGGGAGTGAGGAAGAGGGAGGGAGAGTGTGTGTGTGTGTGAGGATTTGATGGTAAAAAAGGTCGCCAATGTAACTTGATATGTATGAGAATATTAATATTGAACTCTTTAAGTTAATGTGGCCCCGTTGCAACGCACATGTGTTCTTTTAGTTAGAATTAGAAACACAACCGAAGGGAGAGGAGGCACGATGCAGTGCAGCTCAATAATCCTACATCTACATACAAGTTACTTAATCATACGTAACTTTTCTAACCAATACTCTCCCCCCCCCCCCTTGATTTTGAAGGTGTTGGGCCCTTCCTCCCCATCGATTCAATCCCATGTCTACGCGTTAACTTTTACGTAAAAACTCTATGTAAGTTTAAGTAGGTGTAGCATTACTCCAGTGCAGCTTATGTGTGACTCCCATCTATACCTGGCCATTCTTCGGGCCGGGCCGGGCCAACCAAAGCCCAACACAAAAAACCCAGGCCCGAGCCCGGCCCGGTCTGGCCGTCGGGCCTAAAAATCGGGCCCGAGCCCGGCCCATCACACTAAAAGCCCATCGGGCCTCGGGCCACGGGCCGGGCCTCTTCCTTAAATGGTGAAATCAACGGGCTCGACCTGGCCCGGGCTTCGGGCTCAAAACCTAGGCCCGAGCCCAGCCCATGGACAAGGTTGGACCAGGCCGGGTCGGGCTTTTTCGGACCGTGTCGGGCCGGGCCGACCGGGCCGGGCTGCCCATGGCCAGGTATACTCCCATCTCTCTTCGTGTGCTCTTACACAAACCCGTCCACAAATTGCCGCCAGACGGAAATGGAGCGGAAGTGCAACCAGACGGAACAGGGGTAGTAACAAGGATGTCAAAAAACCGGAGGGAATCCAGAGTAGTAGTAGAACCACACAAAAATCCATTCAATAAATAATCCACCATCTGGACACCGGTCCACCATTTTACTGGTTGCTAGGCCACCGATCGACTTCAACCGGACCACACCTCCTCCACGGACCTCCAAATCAAACGCGCATCAACAGTAGCGACTAGCAAGCGAGCTACTTCGCCGGGGCCGGCGCCGGCGCTCTGCGCAGGATGCTCCCGGCGTACACGGCGGCCTCGAGGATGGAGGTGATCTCGTCGGCGACGTCCGTGGCGTTGCAGCTGTTCCCCTCGAACGTCGTCAGCACGGCCTCCACGCCGCCGCCCGCCGCCGCGGCCGCGGTCCTCACGGCGGCCACGCAGTCCAGCAGGCTCTGGTTGCACCACATGTTGAGGTAGTCGTCGGTGGCCTGGACGCAGGCGTCGTGGAGCATGCAGCAGGCGTCGAGGGCGTCGCAGGGGGGCTCGCCGGGGCACCCCGTGTAGGACACGCCGCAGTACTTGCCGTACCGCATCAGCGGAGCCTCTGGTACAAGCATGCGTACCCTCCGGTATGAGCGAGAGATACAGAGAGATGGCGGTGCATATCGCAACCGGTCGGCGGCAGGCACGGACGGCGTACGTACCTAAGGTGCCCGTGCAGTACGCGGACTCGCACGTCCGGCTGCACTTCTGGTCGCCGTCGGGGCTGGACGGCGGCGACGCTGCCCCGAAGATGCCGCCGCGGGCCAGCGAGCGGCCGGCGGCGGCGAGCAGCAGGAGGAGATGGAGGAGGCGGCCGGTGTGCATTTTTCACCGTGTGTTTATGATTTGGCCGGGCTGCCAGAAGGAGGATGGCGGTGAGCTAAGAGCTAGCTCTAAGCCTCCAACTGTTGGCCGTGTATGAGTGTGCCAGTGTGGTGGTGGTTTTGGAGGTTCAGCGAAGTGGTGTTTGTTGGTATGGTAGTAGCTCTGGTGGCAGTTTGGTGGCGCCGTTGGGAAATTGGATGGGTTAGTTTAAGTGTTCAACGGTGACTTTCCCCGCAAAAGGAAAGAAAAAAACAGTTACTTCAAAGGGCCAGGGGATAACGAGCTATTGAAAAGAAGTGTCTTCTTCTGATTGCCTGCTACAGCCTACAAGCAAAAGGCCAGGGGATTAGGCTCAGGCATCCTCTGAATAAAGATATACCGTTGTTCGGATTGGTTGTTTTGGTAGTTGAACGTACTCAACGGCATGGTTGGTTCGTACTCGACGGCATGGTACTCCCTGGCTCCGTTACGCAAATGAAACCTGCGGTCAGGTCCAAGTAGCAAGTTATTTTCCTTCCTTTGTGGGTAGGTCCAAGTACAAAGTTTAACCGCTACAAAGGTTCGGAGATATCTCGGCTAGCTAAGCAACCTACCGTCCTTGCGCATATTTAATAAAGATCTACAATAACATACTCCCTCCGTCCCATAGTGTAAGACGTTTTTTAACAGACAGAGGGAGTACCATTTTCTACTATTTCACATATATACTCAGGCAGCTTCTATCTTTCTTCAAATAAGTGTAAGGTACTTTAGTTCTTCGAAACGCATTGGGAGTTTAATAGCAGCAACAAACAATGCACACGTTACATTATGGGAGTTGCAACCGTTATCAGCAGCTGTACTGGCAAACTATCTCCGCTATCGAATAACTCAGAAATTGATTACATTAATCGACTTGCTCAAGGTTTACCAGCAAGTGCAGTCCCAGGTCTAATTAATAACCTAGAGGGGGCAGTAAAGAGATAAAAAAAATGTAAAGAAGAGAAAATCGGAGGGGAACAAAAAAAAGACACTACAGAAAATTACAGTATTATACACAAAATAACCTAGGAGGACCACCCAGCCTTTTTCTGTTGCTTAACGCCTCTACACAAATCTTTAGAATGCATGGTATAATCAAGAACGCCTTCCACCTTCTGGCAAAAAAATGTTGAACACTGCACAAACCAATGAGAAGAACTCCTCTAGACGGGAATCTCTGGTTCGACACGTCTAAGCCTTGCCTTTCCTTTTAGCATCTAATGCCTGCATTGAATTCAGTTTCAGTCAGTCATAATAAAGTAACAATAAGATTTAAGGAGCCATACATCGTACACAGGAAGTCAAAATATCCTACAGAAGAGATACCTTATTCTGGAAAGTTCGCATGACCAATACGATTAGATCGCGTAGCCTGCAGAAGTATCACTCAGTCAGATATATGATTTTTTTCACCCTTTGTAGAAAAAAACATTAAACAAAAGGTTAGAAGTTTGAGAAGGTAAGGTAACAGTTGGCACCTAACGTCGTTATCCTCATTATTGGGCTCCGTTATTCCCTGTGTATTAAATGGTAGATTTACACCACCAGAACTTACTAAAACAAATTGAGTAGTTCGTCCATTGGGAATTTTCGTCTGCAAAGAAAAATCATATAATATCTCTCAGGAGCAAACATAAATACTGAGTGAATAAATGTGCCTGTCAAACAATGTACCTGTAGATTTGGTGAATATTTCTCGTCAATTACAGCTTCATCCTTGTGGCTGAAGTTTATTTGATATCCGGTTCGTCTAAGGACCAACGTGGCATGTTCCCATTCTTCAGGAGAATACCCCTGCTGTGAAAGGAACGTAGATGTAAGCCCCCACTAATAGTTTAGGAGCAATTTTGCTATCGAACTAACGAGAGCCTATTTTGAGCACAACCATCTTGGTAAACTAGATGCATCGTCAACAAGCTAACAAACCGAGAATATTCTGAGCTTAATGCTGTCAGTTTTGAACAAATCACATTAACAATCATTTCTGCCAGCCCTACTCGTGACCCTTCTATTGTACAGAATACCCTTAATCAAATCGAGCAACTGTTTTAAGTCTATGGTTCTAATTAAAAAAATAGCTAGAAAGATGCCGTCCATTTCTTCAATTTGAAGTGCTAACTCTGTAGTTTATCAGACACAAAATGTAACAGAAGAATATTGTAAGCATATGGAGGGTCACAAGTTTAAGCTACATCAACAACAACACATAACTTGTAAAATATGATTGATGGCATCATCAAGAAGCCTTCCAAGTGAACATTCTGTTTACTTCAAAGGGTATCGAATTTTACTTCAGGCAGAATAATAAATACTTCGTGGCATACCAGGACATAAACATCAAAGTCGGCTCTCCCCCTTGAAATACATATATTGATGTCATTCTGCATTTCTTGATCTGCATAATATAGAGCAGAACTTGGATAATTCTAAGAAAATGAAGTGTAAATCAACTGCAGAGCTATTCTAAGAATAGTCCACAAAACTTGAAAATGTATGTACACTATACCTCATCTTTTTCGAGAAAACCCAAAGAACTAAACCCTATATTATCATGTGTGACAAGGTATGGAAAATTACCAAAAAAAACCTACATTACCCAAAGAACTAAACCCTATATTATCATGTGCAATAAGGTATGGAAAATTACCACAAAACCCTATATTACCCATAGAACCAAATCCCAATCCCTAATACCCTATATTACCACAAAACTTGAAAATGAGTTCACTAACTTTGGTGGTCTTCAGGAGTATGTGTAAGTAAGCATTGCCATCCCCTTCAAGTTCTTTCAGATGAGCAAAATAATGACACAAACATACATGTTTCCTATCCATAAGTTGAGTACAAGTCTGTAACTCATTTTCTACAAAATGCACTTTCCCACAAGCATGTACCATCATTACGAGCATTCAGTTTTTGTTTTCAAGAAAAAAAATGCAAAGAATTTTAATTATGTCTAGAGTAATAGTGTTATTCAAAAAATTAGCACTCCCTCCTATTCATATTACTTGCCGCTCAAACGGATGTATCTAGCACTGAAATACATCTAGATACATCCGTTTCAGCGACAACTAATACGGATGGGAGGGAGTATCAGTGTATCACGACCCTGCCATGGAAGATGGTATGTACCGTGGCAAGCACGCAACAGCAGGAAAGGCTAAAATATAGTCTATGGTTAATTTAAATTAAATTAATATTAAGGGGTTGATTTATCAAACATGATAAAACATAGAAAAAGGCATTTCATGTAGATGAACTTCCACTTTACCAACAGGATACAATGGACTACTAATTAATAGTAGTGTCTCGAGATCCCGCAAAAAAAGAGTAGTGTCTCGACATTTTCTATATTCAAAATATGGAAGTGAGAATACATCAATTGCAAACGTTGATCCAATAATATTAGAGCACAGCATGACAATATAACAATACATTCTATCAGGGATGCAAAAGAGGCAACGGTATATACATCATAAACTTACCACAAGTTATCTTGTTCTCATTGTTAGCAAACTCCCTCACCAAATCACCCTACAATCAAGCGGAGCAACTCATCAAACTCAAATCGCAAAAAAGTGCACTGTGAGTAAAACAAATTCAGAACTATCAGCTTAAAGATTCATGTGTCAGTGTTGTACAAAATTTTATTTCAGACCAAAGCATTTAGAAACAATTTGCAACTACATTCTATCACCTACATAATAAATATGATAGTCTGCAAGCTAAAAGAACTACAAATGGAAATTAAGATGGGAACTTCCTGTGCAAACTATCAGTTTTAGAAAAAAGAATCAAGAAACACTCGGATAAACAGGTTTTGTAAAGCCAGATGGTCATGGGCTTATGCCTATATCAAATCAAGAAATAGCACTTAATTGATAGGGTTGTGCTTTACAGGCTGTTCAGTAGGCAAATAGTTCACACACTGATGCATCAAATGGTGAAACAAAAATAACAAAACAAAATCAGCACATCAGGACACCAAGAGTGTCAAAAATACCAAAACTAGTTTATAACAATGGATGGGGGAGACTTAGCAAGTATATTTATAATAAGAGAAGCCACAAAATGCTTCAAAACCTGAGGGTACCAAATCAGGTTCAAATCAAACATAGTGGTAAAAAGTTGAACATTTCAAATCGCAAGACCAGCATTTTAGTAAATCAAGGAAGAACTGGTCCTCCATAGTCAGTTTGGTCAATCTTTTAGTAAATCACAATTTACCAAAGTTGCAAAAACTGTGTAGCTTTAGGTTTTTTCAATGTACTGCAAAAAAAAAACCTTTAATAACTTTCCTAGTTTCAACAGAATAGCCAAGTTGCCGCTGGGAGAAATAGTATCTTCCTAAGTGGGTCCTTGGACAAACTTTTTCTATCAAACGTTGTGTCTTTGGTTCCTCCATTTGCAAACAACTGTTGTTCTATAATGTGTCTGGTATCTTCGAGACTTGAGTACTACATCACATGAGCTTGTAGTCTACAATACAAAATTACCCTAAATTAATACTTGTTAACAACCTGGCGGCCACTATCATCCATAGGAGTGCAGTCTACAGCAAGAAGAGTGCCAACATCATCTGCAGTAACCACATAGTCATACATCGTAGCACCTGAATTGCAGAAAATATAGAACTAGTCAGTGTAGCTACTTTTTCTCTGAACATTATCACATGGCTTGTAGGACAAATTTCCTTCTTTACCTTCAATAGAATACCTGGTGCCATCTTCATGACAGCGAACCCACTGAAAACAACATTTCCAAGAGAGAAGTTTTATTGCAGCATTTCGAAATTCCCAGCAAAGATAAAAGAATCAGAATCCAGAGTCAGAACACAACATACCTGGAAATTACAAAGTGTAGTACCATTTGTAGGGAAACCACATGCTCTTAAAGTAGATCCTGGCCTAGGATCGCCGACAATTTGAAATCCCTCAATACCAGGTAATGGATCACCTAGGTTAAAAGTATGTATATATCAAAGGATATGATCTAGAATCTTTTTTGGTTAAAATATTAGCTATTAATTTACCATCAGCTGAGTACTCTTGAGTATCATTCCTATAGAACTGTGAGTCATCATCTAATCTTGCTTCTCTAGGACCAGGATTTTCTTCAAAATAATTAGAGTGAGTAGGAGCTACCATATCCCTGAAAGGCAGTGCCAGAAACAGAGGTCAACATTCTTCCATGTCGATGACATATTTGACTGGATAGTCAGTAACACTATTTCAAAATCTAAACTAAGCATACTGATTAAAAGTGGATCCATTGTACATTTGCTCAGCATGTCGATCATTTGGATCTTGAGCATACTGAGGGAAATTGTTCCTGTTCGCAACCTGTAAATAGGAAACAATTATATGTCAAGCTACAATGTTAAACAAGCTATTTGCAGGTTCATGTTATCATACCATATTGTAAGATGAGGAAGTGTCATTTCTCAACGGAGTTGCTTGTTGAGGATTGGGATTATATATGTTTCCAGGTTGACTTATATCGCCTAAACTGTCCTGAATCAGTATAATCAATCAACTGAGTGCCTTAAAAAACAAATATTTTAGTAGATACTAAAATTACTATTAATAGGCTTCAGTAACATAGAAGGTAAAAAGGCTCGTAATCAGCAATTAAAGACAACAACAACAAAGCCTTTAGTCCCAAACAAGTTGGGGTAGGCTAGAGGTGAAACCCATAAGATCTCGCAACCAACTCATGGCTCTGGCACATGGATAGCAAGCTTCCACACACCCCTGTCCATAGCTAGTTCTTTGGTGATAATCAGCAATTAAAGACACAACTACATATTCAGTCATGCAGAGTCATACACAAAGCTATTCAGCAAACCAAAATACTTCAATAAGCATTTGTTCAAATGTAAGTAGTATTGACTATAATCTGGGTTTTTTGTGCCAACTTATCCAAACTTGAGAAGTTTTAGCAATCTTGGTGACACACACACACAATCCATATGTGCCAACACGGGACTTCGAATAGTCAAAATAATTCAGAGTTGAATACTTCACCGGCTTGAAGATGCATAGCTGAGCTGAGGTCACTTACATTTAACGATCTGATCTTCCATTGCATCTGTTGGTACAAGCGCTGAAAATTGTGGTCAAAAGAAAGATGTTACATATCCATGTTAACCACTGGGCACAGAGTTTAAAAAAGACACTGGTAAATGACTCCATCATAAATACTAGACTAGGCATTCTGCATCAAGCAATTGAAAAATAACTGAGCAAACCAGAAAAACATGGTAGTATAACAGATATCTTAACTAAGATAGCAAAATAAAACTTCAGTCCCATAGAGCTATTATGATGGCAGTTAAAATCGCATACATATCAAAGATGCAGAATATGTTTCACTTGACGCTTAACAGATAGAACTGAATTCTTCACCAACAAACAGGCCTTTAAAGTCAAACCTTGTAATGAAAATATTTTTTGTAAATAATATAGCACGCAGCCACTAATTACCCTGTTGTGTCTCAAGTCGACAGTACATTATACTCAATAAAAGGGATAAAACTTGGATAAAGTTTATGTAAAGATGTGAAGGTATCTATCAGACAATTTGGGGGAATCTATTGTCGAGCCTTTGATAAGGAGTGGATCCGTTATGTCCATATTAAGTCTGCATTGACATCAATAATATTTCCTACCATGTCCAGTAAACATCATACATTATACTGGGCATTAGCAAAACATAGCTAATACAGCTCTAGCTCATACAAGTAAATCAATCCTTATGAACCAAATCATTATTATTACCATCCAAGTAACAAAGAAACTAATTTGGGCAAATACAAAAGTATGTATGTACTTCCTGGCAAGAACAATTTAAAAGTAACTGACCAAATAAGAGTTACCTTTGTAACCGTTGTAATGGTTGAAGGATATATTTGAGGTGGGCGAACATCGTATTCTGCTAACATACCAAGCAATGAAGAAGTGAACAAGTAAAGCTCTTCTTCCTCACCCTACAAGGTTTCAACCGTATGTTTCTGAATTCTTAGTGACAATAAAAAATCATGTACTACATAATCTAGTTCATATTAAATGGTAGATAACAATGAACTGAAGTTGCCTCATGCAACAAACTAGGACTACCACTGCATATGCCACTGTAAAGTCAGTTGCATAGAATAAATGCCACTCAACAACTCCCTGAAATGCAGGCCAGGGAATCAGGACCCACTTAGCATTTATCTAGATCACAAAATATTTTGGTCGGATGCAATGCAACTAAAGATATGCAATCATGCAACAGCAACAGTAAAGGGGCTACAGCATCTAAAGAAAGTAATGCACGCATTTGTATAATTTTGCCACATTATTTATATGTTTATAATGCTGTATTTAATACAGTAATAAATAGTCAATTACACGCAACACCCAACCCTTTATAAAAAGGGCCACCTGGATGACTAAGCATATTGGTGGTAGTAGTGGCAAAAATGGATATATCATAAAGAGGCTTGAGCATACATTCTTGAAATGTACAATAGCACCATACTTTTAGTTCATTTGCCAATCTCATATTTTCTTCAATGTGGTTTTTTTTCTCATTCAGTTGCTTCAAAGCACCAGATATAGCATCTTCCTGCCTCTCGTCAACAGCCTGTCATAGTAATATACTTTTATTAGCACAAGACTTTACAAATTGGTCATGCAGCAAATGTAAATCGTATCATTCATATAGACCATCCTCAAGTCTGAAAGCTTCCTCTCCAGAATATGTTTTTCGCTCAGCAGCTGCAGCTCCTACCAACACAGAAAATAATAACTGCAGTTATGGGTTACACAGAGGTGGTAAATCAAAAGGGAAGGACAAGGCACTTTTGCTTACAAATATGGTTAACTGATTCATAACCTTTAACATCATACCTTGAGAGATGCATCAGCAATTTGTTTGCGAAGCAACAGGATCTCTTCTTCCTGTGTCCGTGATCTAATGTAAAGCTCCTGCAAGAAAACATCATCTGGTTGAGAAATTGGAGCAAGTTCAGAAGATGCGGTAAATAGAAGGATCCCACACAGTTACCTTAGTTTCAGGATCCATCAAACGAGTATTAGGATCTTCTGCAATTAAGTCATTGCGGAGGGATGCGCCCTGGAGCGGATGCCTGCCAGCACACGACATAGCCTCATTTCTCAGAAAATGGAATACAATCTAATAATGCACCTAGAATAGTTAACTTTCCCACGAGTAAAGGACCTGACTAGAGTGTCGGAGTTCGGAATGAAGGGTTTAGCATCACCATTTTGCAAGCCATAGTCCCTAACAGACAAGCTGGTAAGCTCATTCCCTGGACGATGACCTGCGCCAATGAAATCAACAGGGGCATCGAATGGATCTCGCATATTCTCCTCCCGTGATCCTCCTATACAAGATGAGATCACCATGTTAACCTAACGAAACCAAACTGGATGTTCCTTAAGAGTCTAACCTAAAAAAAAATCACATGCACAGCTACACAGACAACCAAGCAACGTTTGAACTTCTACATGGGTATCAAACAATCAAATAGTCTTTCGCTCCCAATGGACCGGTAAAGCAAGGCATTAAACCTCCCATGATTTCTTCCTCTATTCCCAAGCACCTGTTTCTGGAATACAAATTTTCAAACTCCAAACAGCACTCACTTGATGATCATGAACCAACAATATTGCATACAATCTCAAGTTGACCAGAGAAAAAATTGAGCTCCAAAACTAACATATAATTTCTTCCTCGATTCCCAAGCACCTGTTTCTAGAATCATTTATCCAAACTCCAGACAATGTTCACGCGACTATCACGGCCCAACAAACATCGAGCTCCAAAACCAACATTTCTCAGCCAAGCAATGCATCACAGCACCAGCACGGCCCCATGACTAACCTCCCTACCAAGTACTCGCGCACGAACCAAATCTGTAGGGCAAGCGGAAAGAAAAGCACATGACCCTTCCATGAAGCGGGAAATCAAAGCTGCGCTGGCACCCGTGCAAAGCCGAATCACAGCTACGGCGCACCCAAATCAGGGGAGACAGCTCCTTTAGAAGATGAGAGCACCAGCCTTGACAATCACACGACACAAACACATGTGGAAATTGCGCGCTTACAAGGTCGCAAAGACATTAACCTGACCAAACCTAACTGGACGATCCCTAAATACTCCAACCTGAACAAAAATCACATGCACAGACTACCAGACAACCAATCGTTTTTTGAACTTCTACATGGGTGTCAAACAACCAAATATCCCTTCGCGTCCAATGACCGGCAAAGCAAGGCATTAAACCTCCCATAATTTCTTCCTCTATTCCCAGGCACCTGCTTATGGAATCCAAAATTTCAAACTCCAAACGAAGTTCACCCTGGACGATCACGGCCCAACGAACATCACATACCATCTAACACAGGCCAGAGATAACATTGAGCCCTACAACCACCATATAATTTCTTCCTCAATTCCCAGGCACCTGTTTCTAGAATCAATTTCGTTTCCAAACCCCAAACGACGTCCACCCGACGATCAAGAGCCAGCAAACATCGCATACCACCTAACACAGGACATAAAAAAAAATCTAGCTCCAAAACTGGCATTTCTCAGCCAAGCAATGCGTCACGGCACCAGCACGGCCCCGTGACTAACCTGCCTACCACTTGCGCACGAATCCAATCCGCAGGGCGAGCAGGAATAAAAATATAAAAAGCACAGGGCCCTTCCGCGAAGCGAGGGAATCACGGCGGCAGCGGCGGCGGCGCTGGTGCGAGGCCCGAATCGCGGCTACGGCGCGGCGCCCGAATCGGGGGGAGGAGGGAGGGGGGTTCCGAGCGCGCACCTGCGTCGGGGTAGGGTTGGACGGGGAGGAGACGGGCGCGGCGCAGCGGGGTCCTTCGAGGCGGGTTCCGGGAGGGGACGGGGAGGGAGGCCCCGTCGTCGCCGCCCGCGCTGTCGCGCTCTGCTTCCGCCGAGGAAGCGACGAGGAAGGGACGGGGGGAGGGGCCGGGGGTGGAAGGACGGCCAGCGAGTGAGAGAGAGAGAGGAATGGCAGCGAAGGGGAGAGACGGGTACGTGCGCCGTGGAGAGTACGCGTGGTTTGGGCCGGGTCGACCCGGGTGGCGCGGGTTCCACTGGGCCAGGTTTTATGGCCACATCCGCCGTAGCTTCGACTCAAGCGAACGTACAGTTGGCCGGCCCAAGTACGTTCGATTTTCCTTCTTTTCCTCTTGTTTTTTTACTTTTGTTTACATTTCGGAAATATTATATATTTCAAAAAATAATTTACCCTGGAAGTGGAAGGAGAGTTGGAGTGGTTTATAAGGGATTCTCTTCCTCATGCTATTGGAGCTTGAGAAGAGATGAGGCCCTCGCGCACTCCTCCTCCTCCGCTCGCCTCGCCACGCCACGCCACGCCTCGCCACGACGCGCCGCGGGTTACGAGATTGAGCCGAGCCGAGCTCACTCCTATGCGCTTCTTTTTGCCGGTCAGGAACGGAGAGTCTTTGACAAGTGGGGCCACGATCTGAGACGTTGGATCGTGGGCTACCGACTTGGACGTGGATTCAGCCCACGTCTCTCCATGCGCAGCCGCACATATATATGTGGGGCGCTGCCAACCCTAGCCGCCATGAAACAAAATGCATCTCCGCCTCCACGCCCGCGTCGTTCCTCTGCTGCTACTGCCGCCGGTGACTCCGTCCCGTTCACCGCGTCCACGGTTGACGGGAGAGCAGGCCTCCGAAACCCCGCCTCTCCGGATCCTGTACAGGAGAGGGGCGATTAGGTTTTTGGGTAGCGACTACGCGACTGCTCGCTTCTGTTCATCTACGTCCACATCACCTTTGTCATCACCATGTCGACTGACGCCGACCGTGCCGCCGCTGAGAAGGCCGAGGCCGACAAGAAGGCCGCCGAGGATGCCGCGGCTACTGCCGCCGCCACCGCTGCTGCATGGCCGATTGGAGGGTATACATCGTTTATCCCTCTCATGTTTCTTTCTGTTGTAGCAGTACTAGCGATATGCGTAGATGTTTCTACTATATGCGTAGTACATGCTCTGTTAGATCGTAACCAGTGTGTTATCAATACTGTCAATGTCATGCTCATGATTTATTCATAGATTAATTTAATCGAAAAACTACCTATTTTCTTATCACAAGGAGGAGTCACACCTATGGCCTCGTGCTGGTGTCAAGGGTGTCATGATGCTATCACTTAAGATTTTTTTTGCGAGAGAACTTTCCAATCTACTCATTATCAATCATGGCAATACAAAGAAGACTAGAGGTAATAAAAATTACAACCAGGTTCATGGACCACCTAGCGACAACTACAAGCACTGGAGCTGATATGGCCGCGTGTAATTTAAGTGCGATGATCACTGTTGATACAACAACGTATTCATCTAGTACTAAATATGCTACAGACGTTTTTCAAGATGAAGATGGATTAGTAGGAATCATGTGTAACCATACCATGGATGTACAATATATGAGTTTGCTTGAGTTTAGACCAATGTACGGTGCAATGTTTCCATGTCTACATGCATCAGGAAATCAAGTACTAGTTCGCATGCATGCAAGTGGGCCCGACAAGAAATTGATTAGAAGAGAAGTTGTGTACGTGCATGATACAGATCGGGAGGAGTTTTCTCACAACGTGAAGCAGGCGCACAAATTAAACAAGAAGAGAATACAGATAGAATTTTTATTCATCTTCTTGCCTTGCAGGAAAACTAGCAATCCTATGATTTCCAACATGTTTAAGACGTTAAGTCTCAAGGATTCCGGCTGGGGGCCACCAGCGGGAGACACGTACGCCAGGAAATAAATAATAAAAGATTAGTATAGCCATAGAGGTTTAATAGAGTTACCACAAGGAATAAAACTGCCGAGATGTAACTTTTTGAGCGTGACAAGAGATAGAAGGTCAGCTTGCTTTCCAAGCCAAGTTAGATGGTCGGCTAATATATAAGCCAATATAGTCCTTTGTAATATTTTAGGTTATATTTTTATGAAATAGACACGATGTGTTTTTAGGGTAGACACCCGTATCAAGTTTTGGAGGGATCTTTAGAAAACCTCTGTGTTGCGATTTCTCTTCGTGGAAATTGTTTTGCGCGTGAGTACCTTTGTCGAGATTGGTTTTCTCGTGCTGGGCCGCAAGGTTCAAACCCTCTACATCGTGTACATCGCGTGCGCGGACGAGAGGTTACTGGTATTGGTGGTGGAGTGTCGTGAAAGGTCGGGCCGCAACGACGGATCGGATCTCGCCAACGAGGTCCGGTTTTTATCAGGAGCGAGGCGAAGGCGCGCTGACGTCAGCACCCCTCCCTCTTCGAAGCCGGGCAAACCTGATTGTAGCACAGTCGAGAAGTCATCGTGCTAAGGCCACAAAGGACCAGCGCACCAGAGCAACAACCATCTTCGGTGAAGAGTCATAGATGATCAAACTATAGCCACACGAACAAATATGAATGAAAATTGGATCCAAATATATCCATCGAAGACCAGCACCAATCGAATCCCATGAGATCCAACAAAGACACACCTCCACACACCCTCCGACGATGCCAGACGCACTACCGGGGCGGGGATCGGGCGTGGGAGACATTATTTTTACTGAGAGAGATCGCCACCCATCGCCACACAGCCTCAAACAAGACGTTGAACCTAACAAAATGACCCCGCCAGTGGGGAGCCGAGATCCTCTGCACCTTCATGGCCCAAAGGCCATCGGAGGCGGGATGGACCGCTCGAGGCGCCAGCGGAAGAAGACTTTCTTTTTTATAAAAGCATCAACTTTATTAATTGGAAATAACAGCTTCATCATTAATAAGAAAAGGTACAATATCATTCATAGGCTCCTCAAAACAATCCGGCGGAAGAAGACTTTTCTGAAGGAGGAGGAAAGAAGCCTTAGATCTATCAAGTTGACTATCACTTGAGAGTTAATCACACTAGAAGAACGCCCGTGCATTGCAACGGGGCCACATTAACTTTAAGAGTTCAATATTACGACATTGGCGATCTTTTTTACCATCAAATCCTCACACACATAGACACACACTCCCTTCCTCTTCCTCACTCTCTATCCCCCTCTCCCTCTCTCTCTAACACACACACATATCCATCTTATTGGGTACGGGACCATAATTCATCTATTTCACACATACACGCTAGTGCATAACAATATGGATTATGTGTATTATATTTGTCACCAGAACTGAGGGAATTAATTTCATGTAAATCGACCAGCCACAGCTCCAAGAATACGCGGACGAGGTGGCTCAGGTCGGCGTCGGCGCCGTCCAGTGCGGGCCACGGGCCCGCTTCCAAGTGCACGTGCAATGCACGTCTTCACAAATATTATAACCAGATGTGAGAAATCACATGCATAGAAAAGACATTCTGAT